TAATTTTCTTTATTTTTAAATATAAAAATTTAATAATATGGTGTGATAAGTATTTAATTTCATTAATTGTTTTAAATTTTTTAAATCAATTACTCAGTTCATTACAATTGTCAATCAATATTTTAGAGTTAAAATAAATAAAAATTAGAGTAACCGTTAAATAACTCAAACAAATTAAACCAAATTGAAATAATTATATGCACCTGCTATTTAGTCGTTCATCTTGACCGGTTTGACTATGATAGTTAACCAAATCAATTATTAGAAAAATTTACGATCGAGGACCAAGAAAAATTTACATTTGTCTTTTTGTTTTTTATAAAAAAGGAAAACTTTAGTTACATTCATTTGAGTAAATTGGAAATGGAAAGTAACATTATAAGCTTTCACTAAACAATTAAATCCGTTACTAAATTACTGTTATTCAATGGCCTTAGTAGATTAATTCCTCCCTAATCTATAGTGATCTTTATATATATATATATATATAAATGAGACTCCAATATCATCTTATTCCTACCTTTTCACCTCGGTGGACTAAAATGCCACGGCGAAATACTAGCTATATGCAAGCATCTTTTTTGTCCTTAAGATTTCAGATTTCAGATTTCATTCGCATGATGCACTACAAAATTAGAGGATTCTTAATCTACCATTGATATTCTATCTAAAATTTCAAATATTTATTGTGAAAATTGTTAGTATATAATACCGCAAATAAGTGATAAAATGATAAATAAAAAATCGTTCTCACAAGAATTGAAATATTGAAATTGATCGAGCTTAAGATTATTTAAATGGCCGAATAAAAAATAATAATAAAGGAACAAATCAAATAGAAAAAATAAAATAATTAATTAAAACACTAGAGCAACCGATTCACAATAACTAATCCACTTTAATTCATAAATTCTTATTATACAAGTTTATTATCCAAATTGATAATAAAAAATCCCTAATTTATTTAATACACTCTCCTAAATTACACTAAAACTTTCTTTAATTGTCAACTCACTATATTCATTAGTGAATTGCAACAAATAAAAATTCATTAAGTTTGTGATTCTTTTATAGCAACTACACAAACCTTATAAGTATATTCTTATCTCACATGCAATCTATGACATTCAACACAACGAGCTTGACACATGATTTTTCTTACAGTTCTATTATGATCTAAATAGTTATCAATAATTTAAAAGTATTAATAACAGTGAAGAATACTCAAATAAGGAAAAATAAACATTGAATAATTTGAATAAAAGAAATATAAAATATCACAGTTAGGCTACATAGTTTCTCTAGCAAGAAAACTAAGACATAAACAAAAATAAATAAAAAGAATACATTGGTTCTTGTAGAAATTTAGAAAATAAAACTAAATGAAAAGTATCATAGGTCTTCAGACTTCCTCCTCTAAATTTTCTTCTTCACCTCTTAGCCTCAAAAAATGCCGTTCTCTAATGATAAAAAAACCTAAATAAATATCTAAATAAAATAATCTAAAAAGCTGCCCAAATTCCCCAAAATAAACCCCCCAGTATTTTTTCTTAGCTCTCCAATGGGGGGCTCCCTGTTTAGATACTGTGTTAAAGAATGCTAATGGGAGATCGTGCAAAGAGGTCTGATTTCTCCTCCTCAAAATTGAGGCTAAAATGAGTGGAAAAATACTAATATTATTTTTTTTATCATTCTTGTTGTTATTTTTTACGTTTATAATTTGACACTTAAATTTTATTATTTTATTTTCTGTTTAAATAATAATATAATACTTTAATAAGTTTAATATGTTAAATAATAAATATAAAAAGTAATAAAAAAGAGAAAAAAAAAAACGTTAGTATTTCTCAAAAAGTTTAAATACCCTCAATTTCCATGCTCAACAGAAGAAAATAAAACAAGTTTTCAGGGCTCCCTGACGCAAAGTGTCACGTGGTGAAGTCTATGACGTTGGCCGACGAGGATGGCACACACAAGAATGTTGGAACACAAAGCATTGGATCCAGAAGATGCTAATGGGGCCTGACACGCGGATGGTGTGACGTGCGCGAGTGGAAGACTTTGAGTGGGCTGATTCCAAATATTTTTGATGGTTTGTTCATTTACACTTAAATTAAAAAAAAAATTATGGTGCGTTTAGTAGATAGATTCAGAATCAGTGTTTGGTTACAGTGATTCTAAATTATAATTCTAAATCAGTGTTTGATTTAGATGATTATGAATCATGATTTAGAATCTGATGTGATGTTTTAAACTAACTCAAATCATGATTCTAAAACCACCTCCCTCTTGATTCAAGGTGATTCAAACTCTTGATTCTGAATCATGGTTTCAAAATCATAATTTGAATCTAAAATCATGAATCATGGTTCTAATTCTAGAATCATGATTAGAATCTCCCTGATTTGAATACGCATACCAAACGAACCCTTAAACTCAAGTTACAATTTTATTTAAGTTTATATCATTTTATAAAATTTTTGAACTTTTTCTTTGCAATTTTTTATCCCAATTAAGCTCAAGCTTTCCAATTAAGTCATTTTCAACTAATTTAAACACACAAATGAGGATTGATTAAATTATTAGTAGGGAAACTAAACAAAACCGAAATAAGATAAAATAAAATAAACGTAAACTAAAAAAAAAATTAAACTCAAGTTATAATTTTATTTAAGTTCATGTTGTTTTATAAAATTTTTTAACTTTTCCTTTGCAATATTTTATCCCAATTGAGCTCAAGCTTTCCAATTAAGTCATTTTCAATTAATTTAAACACACAAATGAGGATTGATTAAATTATTAGTAGGGAAATTAAACAAAACTGAAATAGGATAAAATAAAATAAACGTAAACTAAACTAAAATTAAATCAAATAAGACAAAGATAAATATTTAGTAAAGCAATTTAAACGCACATAGGAGTGTAAATAAATCTATTTTATAAAGTTCAATTCTATTTGCAGAGAACATATAGTTAAATAGTCTTTAATTTCAACAAATTATCCCATATTTCCTGTATTTAGGTAGTAGTAATTTAGTTAGCTCTAATAATCGTAATTCTCTTCCAGGGGAGATGGTATAATTCGCCTGAAGCTAGTTTTGTATAAAGATTCCATATGGCTAATTAATTACCTTTCCATATTATTGAAGCAACAAATTCTAGATATATTTCTACATTTTGTTATTTATAATTAACCTCTCATTGACTTATATTACTTATGCTAACGTCCTAGATTTTTTTACTATCTACAAAAGTAAGAATCTGTAGATCAAAAAGGGAAAAATTACAGCTCTTACAACCATGCATGCATGATTGCATATTAATTTTAAATTAATCAACTAATCAATTATCAACTCAGAATCTATTGTTAGCGTAATAACCAATGGTTTATTCTTTTGGAGTTTAATTTGAGTATAATTCTTGAGTTGAATTTGAGTTATAATTTGAGTTGAAGTTATAACTTGAGTTTGTGTTTGGTTGTGTACATTTGAGTTATGATTTGAGATAAGAATCTTTTTGAGTTTGTGTTTGAGTGAGTCAAAACTTGAATTTGTATTTAGATAGTATTTTAATAAAAACTCAATACTGATAGAAAATTTTAATAGTGTATATGGGTAGGGTTTTATTCATCTTTTCGTTGTCAACGCATAGAAAAAAAAATCATCTCAATCAGAATTAAAACGAAAAAGTTATAGTATTTTTAAGAATAGAAAAAATACTGTTCATTAATTTGAGTTCGAGTTTCTGAACTCGAGTTGAAGGGGAAACTTGAACTCGAGTTAATCCTAAACTTGAGTTTAAACTCGAGTTCAAACTCGAGTTCAAACTTAAAAGAACAAAAACTCGAATAAAGTTGTAATACGAGTTGTATTTTTTTGAGTTTTTCACTCAAAAGAACAAGCCCCAAGACACTTATGCCTCGTTCAGTTTGCCGATTCAAGTTTTTAATTTTAATTGAGATGTGACTTTATATGAGAGCTTTTAACTATAGTAAAAAAGTTATATGTGACTTTTTATGATAACTTTTAACTGTAGTAGAATTAGAATTAAAAACTCAAATCGGTGAAATGAATAAGACCTTAGTGTAAATTCTGTTATAAGAAAGTTTCATATCATCAAGTTGTGATAAGGCTCTGAGTTGTATATAAGCAAATACTGAAAGTGTAATTATTATGTTAAGATCAATAACAAATTCTCTGCCTTCTCTCTAGAAATTTCTAGAATTTTCACAATTAATAGTAGACTAGCTATATCTATGAACAACATTAATGTCCCTTTAGGCTTTATCATCTACTTAATTATTAAAGACATTTTCTCGTGGTATATATTAAGGCCTCGTTCGTTTCACTGATTCGAGTTGAGATGCGATTTTATGTGAGAGCTTTAGACTGTAGTAAAAAAATTAGATGTGACTGTTTGTGAGAGCTTTTTACTGTAATAAAACTCAAATTCTAAACTCGAATAAGCGAAACGAAGGAGGCCTAAGACTTCGTTCACTTTGTGGATTCGAGTTTTCAATTCGAGCTGAGATATGACATTTTTAGAGAACTTTTTATTGTAACAAAAAAAATTAAATGTGATATTTTTTGAGAATTTTTTACTATAAAAATTTAAAACATAAAATATAGCAATGTCCAAAAGCAGAGGCGTCAAAGAATCACTTTAGAGGTCATGGAGTAGGGGTGTACAGAAAATTTTGAAACCCGCCTACCCAGCCTACTCACACCTACCCGAGCCAAAAAATGCAGCTTCTCTTTTATTAATTTTTTTGACAGCTTTCAAATTTATTTACCCGCACTCTATGGGTAGGGGTGCGGCTTGGGGATTGAAATCACCGAGTAAAGCCGACCCGGCCGACATAAGGAAAAAAAGGGCTTTTCAAAATTTGTTTTTTATATATTATTATTACTTATTAAAAATCATAACTAAAACCCTACCTCCTCAATCCTCGTATATAAAGAACATATCTCATGTTTTTCCAATTCCCACCGCCTCTTTTCCTCTCATGGCACGTTTGGTTAGAAGTAATGGAATGGAATGGAATGGAATGGAATGGAAAGGTTATTCCATCCAATTCTATTGTTTGGTTCCATTTTTTTTTTATCAGATTTGGCTTTCCGTAAGAAAGCCCATTCACTGGTTTTGAGTGAATGGTGATTCACACTAGGGACTAATGAATGGCCTTTCTATTCAGGGCTCATTAACGTTTTGTCCAAATTGTCCCCGATTGAGAGAGAGGAAGCCCTAGCCCCCTTCACGTTCTCGAGCACTTGAATCGCCATCCATCCTCAAGCGGCCGCACCTGTCATTCTCGTTGATTTTCTTAGAGCTCCATCCTTTTCCTTTCTCTCCTCCTCTTGATTTGGATTTCCGGTTGCTGGTCTTGGATTTAGCTTCACCGGTCGCAGGCGTTCGAATGGTGAGTTTTTTTTTTCTTTTTATTTTTCCCTCTGATTTTGTTCTTTCTTTTTTTCTTCTTGAACTGTTGATTACCGTTTTCGCAATTCAAATCCTAGGTCTGCCTTGGACCTTCATCATGCTTCAGATTTCATAGCCTTTCCTGATAGCACGGACGAATCCCATAAACAGGTGAGCTTCTGCTTCTGATCAGTCTATTTGCGATTTCTGTGTTCTTGAGTTTTTGTCTTCTGGTTTAAAATATTGTTGCTTTGGGGACTAGATTTCTGGAATCTAAGCAATTGGACGTTTAGCTTTTTCTCCATACCCTGTTAAATTTTTTCGTAAATTCTTCTCAATGTGTAAATCCGTGAGCCTTTGTGGAGGTCAGAGTTTTATGTGAAGTAATGTTACGATAATAACGAAAATAGGCAATAAGAAACAAGAACGAGAACACACAAATTTAACATGGAAAAACCCAAAACGGAAAAAAATCACGGGCAGAGGAGAAAGAATTCACTAGGTCGAAAAACTAATACAAAATAGGAGTTATAAGAGGCTATATATCTCAAAGCATCTCTAAAAATCCCTAATTCACCACATATGTCGTACTGCGAGCTTTTCGAGCCGAGCCAAACTGAATTCAGGTCATCATACCGTAACACATACCATAATGAATATTAGCGGAAATCTCATGCTTATAAGTCTTCCAAGTGTTATATCTATTTAGCTAATATGTTTTTTTTGTACGTTGCCGGGTAGCATTAGATTAGTTTGTTTAATTATCTGTTTTTGGGTGTGCTTTGTTGTCTCTATTTTATGAATATCTATGGGGGATTATAAGTATGATAGGTTTTCTGAGAATAACAAATGTAGAAAGAAGATATTAGGATCAAGGAAACATGGGCTGGGTTTCGGATGATCTAATGTGGTTGGAAATTCCAATAGAAGTCTCGCCCTTGTTGGTTTCATAGGGATCCAACTTTTACCTTGAAGATGGTGGGAAAGGTTAAGGCTTACAACTTGTTAGAATATATTTTCATTGAACTTTTGGCTTCCTTGAAGACAAACATCTGAGATTAAATGTACTAATTTGGTTTTTTTATTGTAGGATAATGGCTCGTTTAATCTTTAGCAAAAAGTGAAACTTTGAGAAAGAGGAGGATAGTTGCTTTGCTTTTACATTGGTTGAATATTATGCATATTGTGCAATGGTTCTTTCAATTGATTGAAAGAGTAGTGATGGAGGATATAGAATCAAACTTTGTACGGAGACAACTTTATGTCCTTGACGTGTTTGTTCATAGGCAATATGTTCATCAACTAGCTTACGCAAGTGATGTCATATGTAGAGATCAATTAAGGATGAATAGAAATGCATTCACTAATTTGTGCACATTGCTAGAAACTAGGGGTGGATTGCTAGAAACTAGGGGTGGTTTGAAAGCGTCTAAGTATTTGCAAGTAGATGAGCAAGTGGCTATGTTTTTACATACCATTGCTCACCATGAGAAAAATAGAGTTATAAAATTCCATTTTATGATATCTGGACAAATGGTTAGTAAGTACTTTCACAATGTCTTGCATTCAATCATTCGACTTCATGGTGTTATTCGTTAAACTTGAGCCGGTTGTAGATAACTCAACTGACGAAAGGTGGAAATGATTTAAGGTACTTCTATTTATGTATTATGATTAAAGTGGGCATTACCTATGGTAATTAATAATTATATCTTTTATTTATGGTAGAATTGCCTAGGTGCACTAGATGGAACCTATATTAGGGTAAGAGTGCCTATGACAGAGAGACCCAAATACCGTAATCGACATATTGTTGTAGCAACAAACGTCTTGGGAGTATGCACACGAGATATGGAATTTATATATGTGTTGCCTGGATGGGAAGGATCTGCAACTGATGGTAGAGTATTATGCGATGCTCTACGTAGGGCAATTGGTTTACGTGTTCCAAATGGTAAGTTTGTTAGTTACTAGTAAAGTAGATTACTCGTTCTTTGTTACATTTACAAAATGTTAAATCTATATTTATCAATTCTTTTAACATGATGTTACTATCTTGTTGATGCTGGATACACTAATTATAAAGGGTTCCTTGCTCCATTTTGTGGCCAATGATACCATCTAAAAGAATGGGAAGATGGACCACAACCTAGGAATGCACATGAGTATTTTAATATGAAACATTCACATGCTAGGAATGTGATTGAGAGATGTTTTGGTGTACTTAAGAGTTGTTGGGCGATTCTTCGTAGTCCATCGTTCTTTCCAATTAAAACTCAAAATCGCATTATCTTGGCATGTTGTTTGTTACATAATTTTATTAGGCGCGAAATGCCTAATGACATTCCAGATCTAATACTAGAAGATAAGTGTGAGAATGACGAAGAAGATGATGAAGAAGATAATGATGATTTGATAACGGCCATTGAGCCTTTAGAGGAATTGACTGAGTGGAGGAATACTATAGCACAAGATATGTTTAATGATTGGAGGCATCGTAGGAATGCATGACAATTGTATTTGTGTTTTTCCTTGGGAGTTGTAAGATGACTTGTGTTGTTTGCTTGTATTAGGACAAACTTATGTTGCTTTGTTATGTTTTTTCCTCGAATAATATGTGTCGCTTTGTTATGTTTTTATTTACAGTATTTGCAAAGTTACTTATCATATGTCATGGAGGATGTTGATTATTGATTGTATGCATGTTTGTTCTTTGTTATTGTTAGGATGGACACTTCCAAATCCAGAGGTCCATGTCAAAATAAAAGGTTTTGGAATGAAGATGAGGATAAATTCTTAATTGAAAGCTTTAATGGAGTTACATAATAAGGGAACATATAAAGCGGAAGGTAATTTCAAGGCTGGACATCTGCAAGCTCTTGAGAGAAAGTTACATAATAAGTTGCCAGGATGTAACTTACTAGCTAGGCAAAATTTTGAAGACTCATTTTCAAATTGTTCATGAAATGCTAACTGGGCCTAATTGTAGCAGTTTTGGATGGGATCCAGACAGAAAAACGGTAACTGTTGAGAAGCCGGTGTGGGAAAGCATATCTCAAGATACTTATAATTATAATTCAGTAATATGGTTGATAGTAATAGAAGTTGTTCATTTAGTTACATCATTTTTTGTATTACATTTAGAGTCATAGGGAAGTATTACCATTTAAGACCAAGACTTTTTCCTATTATGATGACTTGTGTATGGTTTTCAGCCAAGATCGTGCAACTGGTAGGGGTGTCGAGGCTGCTGTTAATGTAGTTGATGAACTTGAAAAAGAAGCAGCTGATGACATTAATATTGACGATGACTGTTTCAATGACATTCACAATACAACTTATATTGATGAGTGCAATCAATGTCTTTCTCACAAGCATCGGCTATTCCTTAAACTCAAGCTCAATTGCAAGGGTCGTCTAAAAAAAAGGAAGAGTACAAACAATGCAGAGGTTTATGTGGCCATTGAAAGATCATCTAGTTTACTTGCTGGTGTTATTGAAAAGGCAAGTGAACGTTTAAGTTGGGCTATCGGTGAATGCATGATGGAAAAATATAGCTGGATTAGAGATGAGCTACAAAGGATCACAACTATTAACACAATAGAACGACATAAGATAATTCAGATGATGATAAATGATGATGCTTTAGTTTCTTACTTTTTTAGTATCTGAAGAATTTCAGAATTCTTTCATTGAATAAAATCGGTAATACATCCAAATATATATACAAAACGTCTAATAAAGAAAATAACTAACTTAATTCTTTCCTAAAAATTAGGAAACAGAATTATGAGAGATGATCATAACTGATCTCTCCTTTATTCCTAAAATACTTTTCTAAAATAAATTTCTTAACTTTGACTTCTGAAAATTTAACACTCCCCCTCAAGCTGGAGAGTATATATCATATAATCCCATCTTGCAAATTAAGTCTTCAAAGTTAGGTCGAGGTAGAGCTTTGGTGAGGATGTCTGCCGTTTGTTGCCTGGTAGGAATGTAGTTCAATGTAACAGTTTCACTAGTCACATTTTCTGTGATGAAGTGTCTGTCAATTTCAACGTGCTTAGTTCTGTCATGATGCACGTGATTCTTTACTATGCAGATAGCTGCCTGATTATCACACATCATCAGAATACGAGATGAACTCATTAGTCCCAGTTCACTAAGAACCCTTTTTATCCAAATCCCTTCATAAATTCCTTGTGCTAGTGCACTGTACTTAGCTTCTGTACTACTCCTGGCTACCACTGATTGCTTCTTGCTCCTCTAGGTAACAAGATTACCCCAGACAAAAGAACAGTACCCAGAAGTTGACCGTCGGTCAATGATGTTTCCTGCCCAATCGGCATCTGAGTACACTTTAGTGTCACGATTCTCTGTCTTTCTAAAGAATAGGCCTTTCCCTGGTGTCATCTTCAAATATCTAAGAATCCTGTAGACTGCTTCCATGTGTTCCTTTGTAGGACTGTGCATGAATTGACTTACAACACTCACTGTAAAGCTAATATCTGGCCGAGTGTGTGAAAGATAAATCAGGCGCCCAACAAGTCGCTGATATCTCCCCCTGTCTATATGTGCACTTTCTTTCTCAGTACCAAGTTTCTTCTGGCTGTCCATAGGAGTATCAACTGGTTTGCATCCAAGCATACCAGTCTCCTTAAGAAGGTCTAGAATATATTTCCTTTGAGAAACAACAATGCACTTCCTTGATCTAGCCACTTCCATTCTAAGGAAATATTTAAGATTTCTAAGATCTTTAACTTCAAATTCTTCTGACAAATACTTCTTCAAATTCTGTAATTCCTCCACATCATTCCCAGACAGAATAATATCATCAACATAGACTATCAATATAGCAATTTTCCCAATGTGAGAATTCTTGACAAACAGAGTATGATCAGCCTGACCCTGTATGTAGCCAAGCTTCAAAACAACCTTTGTAAATCTGTCAAACCAGGCTCGGGGAGATTGTTTAAGGCTGTACAAGGGCTTCTTGAGTTTACAAACCTGATTCTTTTCCATACTTCCTTCGAAACCAGGGGGAATTTCCATGTAGACTTCCTCTTCAAGGTCACCATTTAGAAAAGCATTTTTAATGTCCAGTTGTTGCAAGCACCAATCTTGGTTGACAGCCAATGAGAGAAGAATTCTGATAGTGTTAAGCTTTGCGACAGGAGCAAACGTTTCTTGATAGTCTCAAATGTTTCTTGATAGTCTATCCCATAGGATTGTGTAAATCCTCTAGCTACCAACCGCGCCTTGAATCTCTCAACTGATCCAACTACTTTGTACTTTATAGTGAAAATCCACTTGCACCCACGAGCTTTTTCCAGCTGGCAAATCAATAATAGTCAATGTTCCATTCTTCTCAAATGCATCAATCTCATCTTGCACTGCCTCTTTCCACTCTGAATTTTGTAACGCCTCTTGTATTTTTTTGGGAACCTGAATATCATTAAGAGAAGTAGCAAATGCTTTGTAAGATGATGATAGCCCGTCATAAGGAATATAATTCCCAATTAGATGACCTGTACATCTCCTAACACCTTCCTTAATGCAATCAGCATGGTGGAGTCATCAATGCTGGGACTTGACACATCTCCAGCCCTATCCGTACCTATGTTTTCTTCAGGTGGACTTGAAATTGAGTCAATATCTTGGCCACATGCTGGCTGTGATCTGTGCTCTAGCTCCTGTCTTTTCTTCCTCCTTATGTAGACTTGGAGATTCTCATTAGCAAGTTATGGAGCCACAGTTTGAGCAGGCACGAGAGAAGAAGAATTTGTGGGCTGGACTGATGATTGACTAGGCATGGGTGTGGACAAGTCTTGTGTACGGTCAGTGGGTACGGATTGAGAAGAACTTGGTGACTCTGAGTGGGCAAAGGGTACAGACTAAAGAAGGGACTCCCAAACTTGATGTTCATTCATACTCTCCCCCTGAACACAAGATTTGGGATAGAAGAAAACATGTTCAAAGAAAAAGACATCTATGGTGGTGTAAAATCTTTTGTTGGTTGGAGAATAACATTTGTACCCTTTTTGAGTTGGAGAGTACCCTAGAAAAATGTACTTATTGGCTCTAGGATCAAATTTGCTACGGTTTTGAGGATAGACATGAACGAATGCCGTGCAACCAAATACATTGAGTGGTAAATCAGATGAAGTTGCACGAGTGTGAGGAAAATTTGTCGGAAGGAGCCGACGTCGAGATTGGAAAGTAAGGACTCTGGATGACATACGATTAATCAAATAGGTGGCTGTAAGAATGGCTTCCCCCCAGAAATAATTTGGAACGTTAGAGGAAAACATAAGGCACCGGGCAACCTCTAAGAGATGTCTATTCTTGCGTTCAACCACCCCATTTTGTTGAGGGGTGTCAACATAAGAACTTATGTGGATAATCCCATGGTTCTGAAGGTAGGTATTGAGACTACTAGAGAAGTATTTCCTAGCATTGTCTGACTTGAGTACCTGAATTCTAGAGTTGAATTGATTTTGAACCATAAGATTGAATGTTTGAAAAATTTGCCCAACCTCTGATTTTTCTTTCATAAGGAAAACCTAAGTTACCCGTGTATGGTCATCAACGAATGTCACAAACCATCGAGTACCAGAAATATTTTTTATTCGTGAGGGACCCCACACATCACTATGGATCAAAGAAAACACAGTTGAAGGTTTGTATGGAATTTGAGGATATACTGTTCGAGTATGCTTTGCAATCTGACAAATTTCACAATGAAAAAATGCTGGATTTTTATTGATAAATAGTTTGGGAAACAAGTTTGCAAGATACACAAAGCTAGGATGACTAAGACAATAATGTAACAATATAATTTCACTATCTTTATTGACATTAGAATTGGACACAGAATTAAAAGACTCTAACAGACTCTGAGACTAGACACAACTTGCTTGAGAAACTTGGTTTGAGGATCGGCCACATGAAAGGAGATAGAGCCCGGAGCACAGTTCAGCACTGCCAATCATCTTTCCCGATTTCAAATCCTGAAAAACACACAAGTTTGGATAAAATTTAGTAACACATTGAAGGTCACTAGCCAATTTGCTAATGGATAAAAGGTTATAATCCAAGTTTGGAACATGGAGGACAGAGTCGAGATACAACTCTTTAGTGAGTTTGATAGAACTTGTTCCAGCAATTTTTGAATTTGAACCATCAGTAATATGGACGGACGAGTGACCACTACTTAGCTTGTAATTTTGGAGAAGGGTAGTATCCCCTGTCATGTGATTAGAGGCACCCGTGTCGACTATCCATGGCTTTATTCCTCCTCTGTTAGCAGTGAAGGCTGTATGTGAATCCCTTTGTGCAACCAAACCAGTCCCAGTAGTGCTACCACTGCCCACTTGACTCAACAGTTTCTGTAGTACATCCATCTGCTCTTTACTGAATGGGCTAGGCTCGGGAACAGGTGCAAAGTCAGTGTGGGAAGCCACATATGCTTTGCTGTCTCTGTCAAACCGTGGCTTTGGTTTCCAATTAGCTGGTTTGCCATGGAGCTTCCAACAAGTCTCCTTGTGATGGCCTGGTTTCTTACAGTAATCACACCAAGGCCTTTCCCGTTTCTGACGATCTCCACCACTACTGGTGAATAATTGGACAGCAAGGGCTGATGCATCCAATGTTGAGGCAGGTTGTTCCTTAGACCCCATCATCACTTTCTTTATACTTTCTTCACGCCTAACCTCTGAGAAAGCCTCCTTGAGACTGGGCAGTGGTTTAGTGCCCATAATTCGACCTCGAACCTCATCCAACTCCCTGTTAAGTCCTGAGAAAAACTTGAACAACCTTTTTTGTTCCACAATCTGCTTGTACGTTGCTGCATCTTCTGGACATTTCCATGAGTGAGTCTCAAATAAGTCCAGTTATTGCCAATACCGTGTGAGTGTATTGTAATACTGGGTAACAGACTGCTCTCCTTGGCGGAAATCATGAAGTGTGGATTCAACCTGAAACAGCTCTGAGGTATTTTTAGAGCTGGAGTAAGTCTCTTTGGCTGCATCTCAGATTTCTTTTGCAGTCCCAAACAACAAGAAATTTTCACCTATGTCATTGTTCATGGAATTGATAAGCCATGACATGATCATACTGTTTTCAATCCTCCACTTTCTGAAACCTGCATCTGTAGTCTCTGGCATGGCTGCTGCTCCTGTGAGATACTCATCCTTTCCCTTTTCACAAATGAACAGAAACACAGATTGTGACCACTACAAATAATTATGGCCATTTAATTTGTGTCCTATGATGAGAATAGGAGAAGACTCGCTGCCACCAAGGTTTGGAATTTCAGAACTGCCTCCTGATTCGGGTGCCGTGACGCTGGACGTTTGTGATGTGGCCATTCTGTATTTTGTCATGCTCCAAATATCGCGAAGGAGAAGATGAGGGAGAGGAGCGAATAACGTTGCTAGAAACAGATACGAAGCAGGCCTAACGAACACTGACCAGAGAAAGACGACCTGAAAAATAGAGAAGGGAAGGCCAGAGAGAATCGGCTTGAGAACATAACAGAGATGGCGAGAGAGGATCGGCCAGAGAGAATGATGGCCAGGGAGAGATGGCCGGAATTGATGATGGCCAGAGAGAGAGAGGTTGCCTGAAGAGAGAGAGGCAGCCTGAAGGGATT